CCCCCCACATTTATTTTCCAGAGATTCTTACGGGCATAAAAGAATGTATCTTCTTAATTTGGTTTAATATGTTTCTCACAGCGTTCTTATAATGTTCTGCTGGCCATGAAAACTAAATGACGTATATCGATATGCTTTGTGCCTCTGCAAAAGGCGCCCACACAACAGCCTCGAGCCAAACGCGCCATTTCAATTTTTTGCGCGCGGCTAGATAGAGATGTCTGCCACGGAACACAGCTTTCAGGTGGAAGACAGGCTCATTGTGCTGAAAACATTGTTACAAAAAGGATACTTGACAGTTTTAAGACCACTGTAATATTGTTCCCATTCTCGTTAAAATGTTCTGTACCTTGACATCTGGCGCCAACCAGTGACCAAACTAAACGCAGCCAATAAAAAAAAAGAACGTTTCCTTTTAGTTGCAATTAGGTGACATAGCATGAAAACGCCACCTAAAACAGGATACAAATAAAGTAGGCCTATCTGAAATAAAACGTAGGCCTATTAGTAACGGTCTGAAAAGATAAGGGCAAGGTGACTTCAGACGTCAATATAACCCATGTTTACGACAAAAACAAAACACACCAAACGTTGACGACGCGTTGGGCATTTGTACATTTAAACAAAGGTTAAAAAATGGTTCATGACCTAAAAACGCAGTTGTACTTGCTGGGAAGTCAAACAACCTACGAACAGAGAACAAATTATGAATTAAGATTTCCATAAATAAATAATTAACTAACTAGCAATATATTTCATTTCAGTTTTTAGTTGTGCAAAGGGGGGAAATGATAGAAGCCTTGATCTTCTTGTCACAAATTTGAATTTTAAAATTTATTTTCCAATTACCTTCAGTAATCTTTTGGCACAGAGCTAATGTGATCACCTTCCACATAATAGCCCACATTCTCGAGTGAAAACACTGCAAAGCAAATCTGTTTGTATACTCGAATATGTTGCAAATTATTTGGACTTAACAACCGAATTCTTCTCGCCTTTGGCTGAAATTAGTTTCCCACATCAGACGAGCAGCAGGAAGACAAGATATTTTTGTTCAATTAAAGGAACAAGCCCGGAGTTAGTTCAATTACTTGACGCTGGAGGAAGATGTAAATTTAAAGATTTAAATAGCTTAGAATGTTGCCTCGAGCGCCTGCACTTAATTTCCTTAATTTACAGAGAGATGAGGGGAGTAATGGTTATCCCAATGATGTGCATCATGCCATCAAACTATATATCTGAGTAACACTTACTATCCCTGGTCTTACAGTTGTGTTTATATTCAATATAACAGCTTGAAGACAGAAAAACAAAAGCGTCCTGGTAATCAATAGCAGCTAAAACTTTCACAATTCACATTAACTAATTTCGTATCAGTGATCCATAGGACTTTATTAACATTAATATTAACATTGTTAATTCACAACCACTAATAGTATTTAAATTATAGTGTTAAAATTTAAATAATATTATTTAAATTATGTAACCGCTTATTTTTTAAGTGTATGTATTTCTAGTACGATGAATTATTACACATTTGGAGACATGAGCCACTGTTTTGCCAAGAGAGACAGATGTAATACCTGTGCAGCATTCATGAATGCATAAATAAATCTACATAGCCTATTCCCTTTTGAAAGTTATTTTCCGATGATGCCTGTGTCCCTCATTAAACCACAGCGCCATCTGCTGGACATGACTTGCAACGTCAAACATCTCATCTTACCTGAAACAACTTTAAACATTTTTGATGCTGTTGCATTTTGTCTACACTTCTTTTGGTAATTAGATTTTCCAGAGTCTTTTTGTAATAACTTAATTTCTAAAAGTTCAGAGCTTATTCTCTTGCCTCCAGCTCCTTCCATTCCAAAACCCAATCATACGGAGAGACTAATTTTACTCTTACCCCCTCCTTTTTAAATATGATTTTGGTGCTGAAGAAAGAAAAATGAGGATTTTTTTTGTTCTGTCTTCCACGTGACAAATGGTAGCTGATTTGATGTGCCCTTTGAGTCTGTAGATTGTGAGAGAGAACAGGATGTCAAAGCCCCAGGCCCTGAGATAAGGAGGGGGTAACGAGGGGGTGGAGCTAAAAAAACCCGCAGTTGCTCCAGGCAGCAGAGGACTTATTGGAGTGGGAGGACAAGATGTAAAGATCAACAGCAGTTTAGACTGCTGCATAAGGGGGGTTGCTGCTTTTGTTTCCAATACTGGGATAAAGTGGCAGAAAAATAATATATATACATGACTGAAATCATTTTAAAATCTGTATGTAACTGCATATTATCTTGATGCCTCCGACGGAAAAAAAATCCTCTGAGATCATTTTCAGAAGTAACTATTCCTGTGCATCCTGTAGTAATAGGTTGCATCACTTCTACTTTTATTTTTAAAGTAGGCGCGCGGGCGGCCATTTTTTATCTTGAATGGGCGAGGCTTCCGGTATCATCCACTTCCAGCTATTTAACGGTGCAAAAATAGTCCGTTATGCTACTTGATTTTGAAAGTTTGTATTTGTTATCATATTATTTTTCATTTACTATAATAATCATGAACACACTGGTTTGTCACGTAAAGAGCTTTACTGTTTACTGCACTTTGTCATTCTTCTGGTTACTTATCAATAGCGGCTAATGAATCTAAAGAATTGCACATTCACAGGAAGTAGCTTACCTCCACAATGAAAAATAAGTTGGATAACAAACAAAAAATATGGAACTAACCTTCAAACAAAGGGCGAAAGAGGTTGTTATGAGTTTCCTGTACATGTCTACTAGTGACCGAGACCTAGAAATGACTGGAATTTTGATTTGTCATTATAACAATAAAGAAGGTAATAACACAGAGATGTCATCTAACTAACATTAAAATATTGTGCTTACATTTATTGATATACAGAAAACGTTGTAATATGAGAAATTTGAAAGTAAGGCAAGGGTGTAGCAGGCCATTGAAAATGTTTCGCAATGGTACAGGGTTGCCAACTTCAGAAAATGAAAATACGGGACAATCACCATACGGATTGGGGTGGGGGGTTGGATGAGTGACCGTGTAGGCTATACATACACACACACACACACACACACACACACACACACAAACACATATGTATGCATGAAAATGCGTATTTTTCAATTAAAGACAGCTTATAGATTTAATATGGGCTGCTTTTTTATTGGTAATTTTGTGTTTCAAGAATAAGGTCCAAGGTTAATAATTATGCTATTAGTTACTTAAATATAAAATGTTTTTCTCTATTTAACAACATTACAATAGTGAAAGACGACTTCCCTTACTGATCACGTCTCTTGCGCGGCGGGATGTTGGACTCATGAAAAATAATCACGTAGTTTGTATTCACCAAAACTGATTTACCTTACGGGGGGGGGGGGTGAGTGACCGTGTATATACACACACACACATATATAGTATGCATGAAAATGCGTATTTTTCAATTAAAGACAGCTTATAGATTTAATATGGGCTGCTTTTTTATTGGTAATTTTGTGTTTCAAGAATAAGGTCCAAGGTTAATAATTATGCTATTAGTTACTTAAATATAAAATGTTTTTCTCTATTTAACAACATTACAATAGTGAAAGACGACTTCCCTTACTGATCACGTCTCTTGCGCGGCGGGATGTTGGACTCATGAAAAATAATCACGTAGTTTGTATTCACCAAAACTGATTTACTGAAGTGAAAACACGGACAGAATTGGTGTTAGTGCGAGCGCCGCTTGCTGTGAGGCGGGAGCGACCAGCCGGCAGAGGATTGCGCAGCCTTCCTCGAACAGTTATGTTCACGATTTCTGATTTACTTAACGTATACTGCGTGAGGGGGGCTGTGATTGGATGATGACAGGTATCGGTGATCATTCTCAAGTGATCAGCACCGCTGCTGTTGTATCAGTCAGTGGTTAGATCAGCGTAGCAGTCAAAAAACGGGACAAGGGAAGTCACGTACGGGACAAATCAATTAGGCCCAAAATCCGGGACGTCCCGGCTAATACGGGATGGTTGGCAACCCTACAATGTTATATTGAGTAAAGTGATACTCACAGCTGGACTTGTGCTAAAATCACTTTCCTTTGACACTAATAAATAACATTATGCTACATTTTAGATACTCTTAGTACAGGCTATTCATTCTTGGCAGTCTGAGAAAACAAATCACACACAACAAAGGGACAGTTCACCCAAAAATTAAAATTCTGACACCATTTACTCACCTTCATGTCATTCCAAACCTGTGGAACACAAAAGAAGATATTCTGAAAAATGTCTTTTGTTTTTGTCCATCGTTGTTTTGGACCCTATTGACTTTCATTGCATTTACAAAAACAGCTGCAACATTCTTCAAAATATTT